TTTTAAATGTTTCTTTTGCTGTACAGAAACTTTTTAGTTTAATGAGGTCCCAGTTGTTGATTGCTGACCTTAATTCCTGAGCAACTTCTGTCTGATTTAGAAAATCCTTTCCTACACCTATATCCTGAAGTTATTGCCAATATTTTCTTCTAATAGTTTCAGGGTTTCCAGTTTCACATTGAGGTCTTTGATCCAGTAGGAGTTGACTTTTGTTCAAGGTGAAAGTTTCATTCTTCTACAGATGGAAATCCAGTTTTGCCAGCACCATTTGTTGAAGATGCTGTCTTTCCTCCACTGTGTGTTCTTGGCACCTTTGTCAAATACCAGGTGGCTGAAATTGTGTGTACTCAGGTTTGGATCTTCAATGATATTCCATTGATCTATGTGCCTATTTTTGAGCAAGTACCATGATGTTTTTATGACTACAGCTCTGTAGTATACTTTGAGATCTGGTATAGTAATCCCCCCAGCATTACTCTTTGTGCTCAGGAATGCTTTGACTATTCAGGATCTTTTGTGCTTCCATATGAATTTAAGGACTTTTTTTCTAATTCTGTGAAGTATGTCCTGGGGATTTTGATTGGGATTGCATTGAGTCTATATATTGCTTTTGGTAGGATGGTCATTTTCATATTAATTATTCCAATCCATTAGCATGGGAGGTCTTTCCATCCTCTGGTGTCTTCCTCAATCTCTTTAACGATTTAAAATTTTCATTATAGAGGTCTTTGGTATCTTTGGTCAGATTTATTCCAAGATACATTTTTTTTTGCAGCAATTGTGAATGGGAACATTTCCCTGTATTCTTTCTCCAATTGCTTATTATTGGTATATAGAAAGGCTATTGATTTTTGTAGATTGATTTTATAACCTGCCACTACACTGAAAGTGTTGATCAGTTCTAGGAGTTTTCTGGTGGAACTTTTGGGATCTCTTGGGTATATCTGGTGGAACTTTTGGGATATCATATCATCTGCAAAAAGTAATAGTTTGACCTCTTCTTTTCCTATTAGTACTCCTTTAATTTCCTTCTGTCTTATTGCTCTAGCAAGAGTTTCAAGCACTATGTTGAAAAGGAGTGGAGATAGTGGATATCCTCATCTGGTCCCTGATTTTAATGGGAATGCTTCCAGTTTTTCTCCATTTAGAATGATGCTGGCTGTGGGTTTGTTGTATATAGCTGTAATTATGTTGAGGTATGTTCCCTCCAGTCCAGTTACCTCTAAGACTGAACATAAATGCCTGCTAAATTTTGTCAAAAGCCTTTTCTGCATCTATTCAGATGACGATGTGGTTTATGTCTTTGAGTCCACTTATATGATTAATGACATTTATTGACTTGCATATATTGAACCATCCCTGAATCTCTGGGATAAAGCCTACTTGATCATGGTAAATGATCCTTTTGATGTGTGTCTACATGTGGTTTGCAAGTATTTTGGTGAGAATTTTTGCATCTGTGTTCATTAGGATATGGGTCTATAGTTTTCTTTTTTGGTTGTGTCTTTACCTGGTTTGAGTATTAGAGTGATGCTGGCTTCATAAAAGGAATTTGGGAGTTCTCTCTCAGTTTCTATTATTTTGAATAATTTAAGTAGTATTGGTTGGAGGAGTTCTTTAAATGTCTGGTAGAATTCTGCTGTAAATCTGGGCCTGGGTTTTTTTTAGTTGGGAGGCTTTGTATTTCTATTTCAAATTCCTTATATGTTATGGGTCTGTTTAAACTGTTGATCTCTTCTTGGTTTAACTTTGGTGGTTCCCATGATTTTAGATATCCATCCATTTCTTTCAAATTTTTGAATTTAGTAGCATGTAGGTTTTTTAAGTATTCCCTTATAATGGTCTGGATTTTTAGGGTATCTGTTGTGATGTTTCCCCTTTCATCTCTAATTTTGTTGATTTGGATTTGCTCTTTCTTTCTTTTAGTTAACTGGGCTAAGGATCTGTCTATCTTGTTTAGCTTTTCAAAGGACCAGCTCTTAGATTCATTGACTCTTTGTATTGTTTTCTCTGTTTCTATTTCATTAATTTCTGCCCAGATTTTTGTTATTTCTTCTCTTCTGCTGGGTTTGGGCTTCATTTGTTCTTGCCTTTCCAGCATCTTCAGTTGCAATATTAAGTCATTTATTTGGGCGCTTTCTAAATTTTTAATGTAGGCACTTAGAGCTATAAACTTCCCTCTTAGGACTACTTTTAAATTGTCTCAGACGTTGTGTTGTGTTGTATTGTCCTTTTTATTGAATTCCAGGAATTCTTAATTTCTCCTTTGACCCACTCATTGTTTAGGAGTGTGTTGTTTAATTGCCATAAGTCCATGTAGTGACTAGGGATTTGTCCACTGTTGATTTTGAGCTGTATTGCATTGTGGTCTGATAGAATGCATGGAATTATTTCAATTTTTTCGTATTTGTTGAGGTTTGTTTCATGGCCCAGTATGTGGTCAATTTTTGGAAAAGTTCCTTGGGGTGCTGTGTATTCTTTGGTGTTTGGGTGGAATATTCAAAAGATGTCTGTTAAGTACATCTGATGTATGGTATCATTTAATTCAAACATGTCTCTGTTTATTCTTTGTCCAGTTAACCTGTCTAATGGAGACAGTGGGGTATTAAAGTCCCTTACTATTACTGAGCTGGGGTTGTTAATCTGTGTCTTAAAATCCTATACTGTTGTTTATATGAATTTGGGTGCACCAGAGATTGGTGCACATATGTTAAGGATTGTAATATCTTCTTGGTTAACTGTTCCTTTGATCAGAATGAAGTGACCCTCCTTATCTCTTCTGATTAGTTTTACTTTGACATCTATTTTTTCAGATATTAGAATTGCAACTCCTGCTTGTTTCTTAGTGCCATTTGCTTGGAATATTATTTTCCATCCTTTTACCTTAAGATAGTACCTGTCCTTGAAGGTGAGACAGTTTCTTGCAGTCAGCAAAGAGATGGATTTTTTCTTAATCCATTCACTTAGCCTGTTTCTTTTGACTGGGGAGTTCTGTCCATTGATATTTAAGGTTATTATTGAAAGATGTATATTGGTTGCCATCATTTTGATTGCTGTTTGTGTTCTCTAATTTTGTGTTTCCTAGATTATACCTTTATTTATTTTCTTTCTTTGCCCCAGGGTATAGTTGTTTCTCTCACTGCTCTCTGTATTGCTTCGAGTATTCTTTGAAGGGCTGGTTTTGTGGACACATATTCTTTCAGGCTATTCATAGCATGGAAGTTTTTCTTTCCCCCTCAACTATAATAGACATTTTTGCTGAGTAAAGTGTGCTG